ATGCACTCTACAAAAGAAAAAAAGATTAACATTAAAGCCAACACATAATCAGTTTTGTTACCAGCTCAATAACCACTTTTTAAATTATATCCACTCTGCACGATCAGTGCAATACCCTAAAGAGCTAGATTCAATATTAAATGAAAAATCAGGACATTTCATCCCCAACTCTCTCTTTTCTGTCCGATTTTTTTTTTTTCCAAAAAAAAAATTAATAATTCAAAAGGTTTTTTTTTTTTTTATTTTAAAGCTTAAGGAGACACAGAAAATCTTTTTTTTTTTCCTAGATCAGTCCAGAGGAAGACTCTTTTCTACATACTTACTACATAAGTCCAAAAGGTCCTTTTCAAACCAGCTCGACTTACCTAGAACCACCTCCTTATTTGTTATTGGGTCCAGTACAACAGTTGGCTTAGAAATATCAGCTAGAGTTTGATCGAAATTTACAGCTATCTCACTCCCTGAGGAGAAAAAAGACCAGCAAAGTAAACACTCTATGTGTTTATACCAATGTTTATGTATTTATACTATACCAATCTATCTATACTCTATATATACTATATACATATACACTCTCTATATATACTCTCTCTCTATGTATATAATACTCTCTATATATGTATATACTCTCTATATATACTATACCAATACTACACCAATCACAGCATATACTCAAAAGAATGTACATTTTAAGAAAAGATCTTTTCCAGCAACAAATGCTGTTCCTAAATAAAAGAGGAATATTAAACACATGATGAACAAGGACAAATTTCCTTCTACACACTGTTGATGTTAAAGAGATGAAATGTTCCCAAGAATAAACACATGTTCATTTTTTTTTTTGAGAAATACCATTAAAGGAATCTAATTTAAGTTCTAAATCAGAAAGTTATTTCTATAAACGAAAAGGTTCTTTTTCCAGAGGAGACAATAGCCTAATAATTGATGTCAAAAGTAAAAGCAGCAATAGTGGCAATTTGGTAGATACAATCACTGATTTTTTTGTAGTATCTATAACATTTGGAAAAATCTATTCCCCTCTTTATTTGTAGACCTTTTACATTTCCCTTAAAATTCAAGGATGCCAGCAAAAGAGCATCTCTCAAGATAAATGTGGCTTAAATAGCAAATCCTTCACTTATAGAGGCAGTTTAAATGCATTGAAAGCAGCAAATAATCTTACAAGATACAGTATGAACACTCAGCACCAGGCCAAGTTTACACGGACTGCAAAATGATTTGCATAAAAACTTAACAGTTGTGCTCGGAGCAAGGGGTTACCTAGACCAGGATCCTGACTCCAAGAACAAAAAAAGCAGGTACCTCTCCAACCTCCCAGAACAGTGTAATGAAGTAATGGCACTTCTCTGAAATCCTTGTCTCTAATAACATACAGTTCTATTTAAGAACTATCAATAATTAAGTATTCCGCTGATTTATCCAGCTCTCCCTTTGAATCTAAGTAAACTTTTTTTTATCCACAACCTTGTGTGGGAAGCAGTCCACAAGCTTAACTACACGTGGTCAGAACCACCACTTTATTATCTTTGAAAAACCTGGCTCCCACTAAGTTTCATTTGATCCTTTCTAGTTTTTAAAAAAGGAATAAAAAAGTGTTTTAGATTCCCCTTCTCCATGCCACTAAGCATTTAAAAGATCTTAGTTGGATCCCTACAATCACCTCTCTTTAAGACTAAGGAGCCCTTGCCTACATAGTTGCTCCTTGCACAGAAATCCTTCCATATCTTTGACAAGCCTTCTCTGAACCTTCTGATGCTGCTACTTTCTTAATAAGTAATTTCTCTTGTTGTTCCATCACACTTCAACATCCCGGAGAGATTTTGATATAAGAATCTGTCAAATACCCCCTGCACATCTCAATTTGTATTATCAACCTGATCTCCCTTCTCACACCATTGCTGACTTCCCTCACAGAATACCAACATTTAGCAAGGCACTATCTCCCTTCTCAAAACCATTTCTGAACTCAGTGTCCACTTATGCTATCCTTTAGCACGGGTTCTAATTCATTTGCTACCTCCACAGATCTCTCAGAGTCTTTTCTTTCCCTGAGAACCTATAGCAAAACACCATCTGACAACGCACAAGAACCAGGATGATTTTAATCAACAGACGAGACAACAATTAAGAGTATCCTCATCACACAGCATTGCTATAGCTACAGTAAAATCTGTATGTGTTTCTCACATCAGATCACATTAACAAATTTCATTATGTAAGGTTTTCACTTAGAGAGAGAACCTGTAAGATTTTTTCACAGGAAAAATCTTAAAGCAATACTGTGTTTGAGTATAGATTTTTTAAGCATTAAATAAAAAAGAAAGAAAAGCAGAAACCTGTATTTATACTTGTCTGATCTCTTTTTGGCTTATGACTAGGCTTCTTCCGTTTAATCTTCTTGCGAGGTTCTGTTTCAGGACACACTATTCCACTGATCACAAGTCCTGAAACAAAAGAAAGTGAAGTTCACTGACACATAATGATTATTCTAGAAGAACACAGATTTGCACAGCCTAAATCATTTTAGGTCAGAATACTGCAGAAATTTTCAGGCAGCTTAAAAAAAAATAAGAACAATGAAAAGACCAAATTTGTATAAATTATCAGAAAAAAAAAGACTGAGAACAAGATGTATTCTAGCACTTGGGCACTTAACACTATGACTGGATAAAATATTATGGTATCTTTTCCAGAAAGGAATCCACACACCAAGAGAAATGTTCCAATGAATGATCCCGTAAGTTGGCTCTTTTCCCTACTTTCTACAGCATATTAACAAACACACTAATACTTAGAAACTATTTTGCTCTTCCCATCGCACTTAAAACAACTGTGCTTAACACTCTCTACTGATAATACCTCTATCTGAAGATAACGTCAGAAAGAAAAAAAAACACGGAAAGATGACTAAATAAGCACCTTAAGACTATAAACAATTTAACTTAATGAGCGAATAGCTAGTGTCTCAAAGCTCTTATGGCACAAAGTCTGCCCACACTAATGAACCCTTATCATGCTGTCAGGACAAAACAACTAGGACTAATACCTGAAGGCCCCACTGTATAGTTCACACGCTCTCCTCGCCAATATTCCAAAGGTCTCAGCCGTATCCTTTTTGTCCGACGAACATTAGGTGTGTTGGAGGGCATTACTAATTTAAAGAAAGGAAGCGGTCATATTGAATTAGAAAAAAAAAATCAAAAATAGAAAGCAAAACGTATTTTGTCCATTTGTTCTATATCAGCTGAAATAACCTAGCTGATATTTATACCACATTGTTTTTACGACAAGGGAAGAAAATCAAGAATCACCAAGAGTCTTCTTTCGCATACATCAGTACTTCACCCTAGTATTAAAACATACATCACACTACCTTTCTATTAAATGACATTCTACCTTGGTGAAGCAGTGAGATGGGACATTAGGGGTTTAAGCACAAAAAAACAGCAAAGATACTATAACCTTAAAGACAAAACTCTATGACAAGGACTAAGAATCCTACTCAGATCTGAGGGATTACATCAGCCACAGTGAAAATGCTTTGCCTCGGTTGTGGCAAAAAGAGAGTTATAGACAAAATGCACGAGTAGCCTCGTACAAATGAGGGAAGTAAATACTTTCTTCATTTTCCTGCCTCTTCTCCAAATATTTTTCAACATAAAATTAAAGTTTTGAGATGCAGCATTGCATAAAGTAATAACGATGCTTTGCTTAATAAATTAATACATGAGCCCTTTTATATGGGTTTTCCTGCATCTCCTTTAGTGTAATCTTCCTGCAAATCCTTTAGTGACTATACTTCCGTGTAGTCAACATGGAAATGCATTTGCATAGGCTTACACAAAGGTATTTTAAAATAATCTTACCTATTTTATGTCTTGCTGTCTTGTTTGACAGCAGATCGTTGATTTGATAATCCATGTCTTCAGAGCTATCTGAAAATGCATTCAGAAAAAAAAAATCCCTCACCATATTGCTCAATATTCAATTATCAATTATTACTGTGGCGATGCAGACCGATCCACCACAGAAACATGCGTCAGTCCGGGTCTCTGCACGTGGGCAGTGTCTGAGCCCCTCCGTGTTATCAGGGAGCAACAAAAATAACACTGCCTTAGGTGTGAGCAGGTGGATAACCTGCTTAGCCTGGTGGTGGAGGCGAAGGAGGAGGTGGAAAGGTTGAGGAGCATTAAAGAGTGTGAGAAACAGACTGGTGGAGCCACACTCTGCAGTTGTCCCAGGTAGTGTACCCAGAGAACCCCCTGGTTTGGTCTGAGAATCCACTACTCTCTTGCCATAGAGCAGAGGGGGCAGAATTAACAGTGTCAAGCCAAGAACAAGAATGGGAACACATCCCTCTTCGAGGTGGCAGGAGAACCCTTTCCCGGCCCACCTTGCCCCTGCAAGTGACCACATCCAGCAGGTATGAGACCCTGGAACTCGAGGACCAGACAAATGAGGTCAATGACCAAGACCCATCTACAGGGTGGCCTAGGGTGAAGCAGTCAAATCCACACCTTAAGACTGCCCCCACTAAGGAGAAAAGGAGCACCCAGAAGAAGCAGTGTATGATTGTCGTGGGTGACTCCCTGCTGCAGGGCATGGAGGCACCAATCTGTAGACCTGACCCCTTGTCCAGAGAAGCCTGTTGCCTGCCATGGATATCACGGAGAGACTGCCAAGGCTTGTTCAAGCATCTCACTATTATCCCCTGTTAATGTTTCATGTGGGTGCTAACGATGCCATGGGGAAACTGAGTAACACCAAGCAAGATTTCAGAGCCCTAGGGAGGGCAGTCAAAGTCTGGGTGCCCAGGTTGTGTTCTCCTCTCTCCTGTCAATGAGGGGAATGGGTATGAGGATGAAAAGGCAGCTATTACAGGTTAACAACTGGCTGTGTCAGTGGTGTTGGCAATAGGGTTTGGTTTCTATGACTATGGGACCCTGTCTGAGGATCACCAGCTAGTGGGGAGCCATGAGAGCCATCTCAGCAAGAGGGGCACACGCATCTTTGTCAAAAGGTTGGCCAGCTTGGTTAGGAGGGCTTTAAACTAAGCATGAATGGGGACAGAGAATGTTATATGGACAGGGCAATCAGTGGCATGCAGCCAAAGCCAGAAGGCATCCAACACAAATATGCTACTGGGGAAGTGAGTATAGGAGATGATTACAGAGGGTCCACTTTCACTCCTCCAGGGAAACCTGCAGGCTCGACTACTTCCCTTAAATGCCTGTACACCAATGCACACAGCATGGGGAATAAACAGGAGGAACTGGAGATCTGTGTGCAGTCCCGGCATCATGATCTCGTTGGAATCACAGAGACACGGTGGGGCAGCTCACACGACTGGAGCACTGCCATGGAAGGCTCTGTGCTCTTTAGGAAGGACAGGCTGGGAAGGTGAGGTGGTGGAGTTGCTCTTTATGTGAGGGAGCAACTGGAATGCATGGAGCTCAACCTGGGAGTGGAGGATGAGCGAGTTGAGAGCTTGGGGATAAGGATTAGAGGGCAGGCTGGGAGGCATTTGCTATAGGCTACGTGATGAGAAGAGGAAGGCGATGAGGCCTTCTACAGACAGCTGGAAGTAGCCTCATGGTCTCAGGCCCTAGTTTTCATGGGGAACTTCAACCACCCTGACATCAGCTAGAAAGACAACATAGCCAGGCACAAACAGTCCTGAGGGTTTCTACAGAGAATTGATGATAACTTTTTAACACAGATTGTGGAGGAGCCAACGAGGAGAAGTGGGCTACAGGACCTCGTACTAACAAATAGAGAGGGACTTGTAGGAGATGTGAAGGTGGGGGGTAGCCTCAACTGCAGTGACCATGAGCTGGTTGAGTTTAGGATCCAACGAGGAGGAGGCAGGGCTGGAAGTAGCCTCGCAACCATGGAGTTCAGGAGGACCACCTTGAGCCTCTTCAGAGACCTCCTCAGAAGAATCCCATGGGCTGGAGCTCTAGAAGGAAGGGGATCCAAGAGAGCTGGTCAGTATTCAGGCAGCCCTTCCTCCATGCTCAGGAGCGGTGCATCCCTGTGTGTAAGAAGTCAGGAAGAGGGGGCAGGAGACCTGTGTGGATGAGCAAGGAGCTGCTGGCAATGCTCAAACAGAAAAAGGCACCATACGGAAAGTGGAAAAAAGGACAGGCTCCTTGGGAGGAATATAGGAATGTTGTCAGGGAATGCAGGGATGAGA